GCTAATTGTCTGTGGCTGTTTGTTTTATTGCCATATATCTTTAATAATTATAAATAAAAGAAAGGGGAGTTTAGATAAAGCATTAAAGATTGCAGTGTAACGTAGCCTTAGGCCTGCAGTATGAAGGTAACCTTAGTTTTACATGCAAGTAATTAAGCCATAAAAAAGCTTACAAGACTTCCAAGTAAAGCGGGTCACGTGACAATTTCCCTTTTTATAGGGGCTATATCTTTCAATTCACACTCCATTTTAGGACTCCGTGGACTGCATGAGAGACAGATCAGGCGCTGCTGTTTTACCAGGAGCTTCATCTGATGAAAAGAGTGAGTTTGATTAACTAATGATTTACATATATACCTTCCAAGACTTCCAAAACCAGAAACCGGGAAAAGAACGGAACCACGGCCCCAGGCAGGAAAAATAGAACCATGTAGGCTGATCCGTGAGAGCAGGTGTGCTGCTTTTGTTAAGAGTTTGGTGTTTGTGGGTCTAAATGAAACAATGTAGAAAAAGCAGCAGTAGCTTATTTCTGTATTGTCTGGCTACAATTTACAATAAGCTGCCACGACTCACTCACATTGTGCATTCAGGTTTTATTGGTGAAGGGTTTGGCAATGTGATTGTCTCATCTTCTTCCTAAATGTCTCCAGAGCATGCCAGTCACATTCTCTTTATATCCATGGGCATGTTTTCGTAGTGAAGAGGTCTAATATGTAACTTTTTTGCCAATACAAAAAGTAATGTTCAAGCAAAGTAAAGGCTAACCTCTCAAAAGACACCGACAGATGACTGTGAGAATGTGTAATCAGAATGTTATTTCCTGGTTAGTCGACAAGTGGTCCTGAAAAGGCGTGACACACCTGCCGCACACAGGGGAACACCACCAGATGATCTGGACCACCGTAGGCCTAGATATCACACAAAACAAAACCAGATTTTTCTCTCTTTCCCCCTTTTTTAAACAGAAAAATCAAAGAATGATCCATACACTGATTGGAAATGTTCTATCTCGTCATTAACGTCTGTATGCATCTTTGAATGCCTTTGGTCAAACTCCTTTGCCAGAGACGTGCCAGTCCTACTCTCAGAAGACTTCTTTGTGCTATTTCTAAAATCTGCTTGCATCATCTTGTCACAAGATTGCTGACGTAATCTGCACTCTGCGCATGCGTTGGCGTCTGTAGCCATCTGTCGGAAGCTCCGTCTTAAACCGGACTCTTATCCAGTTTTAATTCACTCTTTTTCGTTACATTTTTTATATCCTTTTTATTTAACTTAACTTTGTTTAAGTTTTACGTGGGTTAAGGATTTTAGTCATGCTTACTCCTTAAGAAAGCGAACAAGAAGATTGCTGACCTTATGGAAGACATCCGACAACTTTCAGAGGAACTCAAAGAGAAAGATTCCCTGCTGCCTGGCTTTATGGATGTGGCTTCAGTACAAGCCAAACAGATTGTTTCTCTTAGCGCAACCGCTAACATCCAGGACACCGTGTTATGGGACCCCTCCAGCCTTCTGAGGCTTTCATCCTGCTCGACTCCGAAGCATCAGTCAACCTGGGCTGAAGTGGTGGTCCGTGGCTGCAAGAGAGGCTCGGATGGGGCTGCCTCTCCTCCGTCCATCGGCCTCTCCAACCGCTATGCAGTCCTGTCTAACGACACTCCGGTCCATCCAGCGGATGCACCTGCGGTTTCGAGTCTCCCTGATACGGATCTCTTTCGGCGGACAGTGCCTCCCGATACTGTTGCATCTCCTCCACCGGCAACATCTCCTGCACTGGGCCGCCGGTCTGCCGCCGGGCCTGATCGGCGGCCGTCATCCCGGTCAAAAAACTCCGCTTCCCGACGTAGGATCCTGAAGGAGGCTGTGCTCAGACGCTCCGGAGGCCATCTCTACCCTGCACCGTCAGGTAGCCCTTCTCTCAGGTCTGTTACTGCTACTCCAACACAACACTCAACAGCTCACACACTCCATCCTCAGTCCGCACACAGTGTTGAAGCAGATTCTGCGCACATACAGCATGTGGTGCGATCCACACATGACTTACGTGAATGACTAATCATTCATGCAGCACACCTGGACACTCCACCGCTCACTGAATAGATCTCTGGCTCACTGCCACAAACAACTGTCTCCACCTGCTGGCATGTAAAGCCGTCTGCTCCCAGCGTTGTTCCAAAGACTTCTATTCCTGTCATCATCACGCATAGACCAGTAAACCGAAATGTGCACATCCCACACAGAAATAATAGTAATCTCTTAAGGATTAGGACAACTGCACCAACTCCAGCACCCAGAACAAACTCATTTAAAATGGCTCTCTTCAATGTGAGATCACTTTCAAGTAAGACTTTTATCTTAAATGATTTTATCTTGTCTGCAAATCTAGATTTTATGTTTTTAACTGAATCCTGGTTGCAAATGAATGACTATAGCCAGCTAGCTGAACTGTGTCCGCCTCAATATGATTGTTTTATTCAACCGAGGGTCAGTGGTCGTGGTGGTGGGCTAGTGAGCGTGTATAGGAAAAATTTAAAATGTCATCAAGTACGCTGTGATGAATTTAACTCCTTTGAAGTTCTCACTCTTAATGTTGGAGGGCTGCAACCTATCATATTTGTTATAATTTATCGCCCCCCAAAACCGCCTGGAGGATTTTTATCAGAACTTCCTGAATTTTTATCTACTCTGGTTTTAAATTATGACAGAATTGTTCTTTGTGGCGATTTTAATATTCATGTTGATGAACCCAACAATGTTAATGCAACTGACTTTTTAAATATGGCCACTTCTTTTAACTTCAAACAACATGTCAAAGGGCAAACACATAACGTGGTCATACACTGGACTTGGTCTTTACCCTGGGTGTCAGCATTTCCTCTGTGGAATTAGTGGACATGACCATATCTGACCACAGATGTATTGTTTTTAGCTGCGATTCGCCTGTTACTCATGCCGCCTCACCAAGCTCCGTGTGTTCTCGCATCTTTAATGAACACTGAAGGATTTATTAATTAACTACAATAACATGGTTAAGGATGCGAGAACACACTATTTTTCTGAACTCATTACTACACATAAACACAATCCCAGGTTTCTGTTTAAGACTGTGGATCAGCTGGTAAACCCAACCCCCTCCTTGTGCCTCTGCTGGAAGTAATGATGACTGTGAATTGTTTTTATCTTATTTTACCAATAAGGTGGTGTCAATCAGAGCCTCTATTACCCCCACTGCCTCTTACTCAGAGGTCCCTCACCAGCAACAAGAGAGTTTTAACCAGTTTTATCCCATCGACTTGTCTGAGCTTTTAAAAACAGTATCACAAATGAGTGTCCTCCAGCCCACTTGATGTCATACCTACAATAATAGTAATAGATTCTGTTGGGCCCCATTTGATCTCTGTTTTCAACAGCTCCCTATCTACTGGTTGTGTCCCTGATTATTTTAAAACGGCTTGCGTGAACCCACTTTTAAAGAAACCTGGTTTAGATCCCTCCCTCCCACATAATTTTAGACCAATTTCAAAACTGCCTTTTATTGCAAAGAGTCTAGAAAGAATTGTGTCCAAACAGCTGCTCACTGTACTGGAAAATAACTAAATATTTGAAAAGTTTCAGTCTGGTTTTAGGAAGTACCACAGCACTGAGACTGCCCTGCTTAAAGTCACCAATGACCTTTTAATGTCTGCTGATGAAGGCATGTGCTCAGTCCTGGTACTCCTGGACCTTAGCGCTGCTTTTGACACCATTGATCACAACAACATGTTAAACAGACTGAGGCACTGGGTGGGGATCTCTGGTACTGCCCTAGAATGGTTTTCATCCTACCTGTCAAATAGGAAGTTTTGCGTGTCTGTAAACAACTATGTCTCCTCATTCTGTCCAGTTAAATATGGTGTGCCTCAAGGGTCGGTCTTAGGACCCATTTTGTTTTCCTTGTATCTGCTTCCCCTTGGACATATTATCCATAAACATGGCATTTCTTTTCATATTTATGCTGAATGCAAATATACTTGCCCATCAGATCCACAGACCCTGGAATGCTGAGTTCACTTAACAACTGCCTTTGTGAAGTTCAAAAATGGATGTCAAATAATTTCCTCCAGCTGAACTCAGACAAAACAGAAATCCTGGTCATCGGGTCCCAGCAGATGGCAAATCAAATACTGCCATCTGCTGGTTCCCTAGTAAATCACATTAAGCCTGTGGCAAAGAACCTTGGTGTTTGGTTTGATAGTAATTTAAATTTCGAGCAGCACACCACAAAGCTTGTTCAATCATGTTTTTATCAACTTAGAAATATAGCAAAAATTCGATCTATGTTAACTTTTAAGGACACCAAGACCATTTTACACGCCTTCATCTCATCACGCCTGGATTATTGCAACAGCCTTTTCACCTGTTTAACCCAAAAATCTATTGATCGACTCCAGACTGTCCAGAACTCATCTGCCAGGCTTTTAACCAGAACAAAGAAATATGACCACATTACTCCTATTTTAGCTTCATTAAACTGGCTCCCAGTATGTTTTAGAATTGACTTTAAAACTTTATTGATCACTTTTAAAGCTCTTCATGGCCTCTCGTCTTGTTATATTTCTGACCTTTTAGTCCCATACACACCAGCACGTACCTTGAGATCCTCAGGCAGAGGTCTGCTGTCTGTTCCAGAGTCTCGACTGAAAACTAAAGGGGACAGAGCGTTTGCTGTCAGGGCCCCGAGGCTCTGGAACAGCCTGCCCGAGGAAATCAGGTCGGCTGAGTCAGTGAACTCTTTTAAGTCCCTTCTTAAAACATACTTTTATAGGAGAGCTTTTCCCGATCTTATTTGACTTTATTTTATCCCTTTTAATTTATTGTATTTTACTAATTTTATATAAATTTTTCATGCTCATGTTTTTTTGTATTATTCTTTAAACTTGTTAAAGCACTTTGTAACTTGTTTTTGAAAATTGCTCTACAAATAAGGATTATTATTATTATTATTATTATTACTGAAGTGGAGCAGCAGGCATTCCACTAGTTCTTTATCATCAACCTCAGATGCTCTGATGTAAATATAGGCTATGTTTACTCAACTGAACTGTAGTAGAGGTGGATTATTCTCTGATCAGGTAAGACAAAAATAAAATCAACAGGCTACGTTTGAACGGATTCAGCTTTGTTGGTTAATTTTAATGGACAACATAATTGTCACAGATTTTAGGTATGCTATATTTTGGCTTATGAAATGAATGGAAATAATAACAGAAATCAACTGAAAAAAGAATTTAGACTATTATTATTCATATTATTAATATTAATGATAACCATGTTTGTAATTATAAAGTTATTTAATGTTTTTGCATTCATTCTCAATCCTCAACAAGTCCTCATGAAAGATTTCATAATGACTAGCAGCTGTGTTTGCCTGATATTAAAATGATGTGACATAATGTACCAATCTGCTTTATTTGCTGTTGCTGGTTTTAGACTAAAATAAACAATACGACAGTTTACATATTTCACCACACTCTTTGTCTACAGAGTGGAATCACAAGGTTCACACAGCCAAGATGAAGGCAAAAGTGAGGATGTTTGTTGTCCTGCTGTGTGTGACTGGCATCTGGGTGTTGAGAGGACATGTTTCAAGAGGGTTTTCAGAACACCTCAACCAGCTCCAGGACACAAACCCCTGTGCTTGTGACAAATGCTTATCAGAAGATGATCTGTGGTCTATGCCGCGTTTCCACACATCTGTTGAACCATTTTTGTCAGCGCAATACAATCTCTCAGAGGATGCTTTCAACTGGTGGAAGGTAAGTTTCTGGAACAGTCTCTCAGCCTGCAGTTATCAGATCAGGATCAGGAAGTGAAACACAATTATATCACAAATGCAACATTTGTTTTAGTTAAACAACTACTTAAGCAATACATTTCACAAGTAGTATAACAGAAATGTTTGTTTGGTTTGTGTGTCAGCGCTTACAGGTTGAAAGCCGCAACTTTAGTACCTATAAAAAAACAGTGGACAGGCTGTTTGAGATGTTCCCATCCAGTCCAGATGTCATAAAACCCAGCCCTGACCTCTGCAGGAGTTGCGCTGTGGTGGGGAATTCTGGTCATTTGAAGCGATCACGATATGGACCTCTCATAGATTTACATGATGTCATCATAAGGTAAATCTTTCAGCTAAGGATTGTGAAGCTCTTAATAGTGCATAACTGTAAGCCTTAATATTATTTAAATAGGTGAGTTATATAAAAATTCACTCTCTCACAGTTGTCAGGAACTGGGAAATTAGATACCAAAACCAGGCTACAGCCGGCCTCAAGTGTCCATTTGAGGAACTGCATTTTTCTGTCCTGGAGGTTGCTGCTTGGATAAACAAACACGTTTTTTCCTCAGTGTTAAAAATTACAGCAGTACCCTAATGTAGTGTATTTTTGTCAATGATAGTGGCATATAAGATAACATCCCATTGTTCTATTTAGAATTAACCATGGTCCTACCAAAGGCTTTGAAGCAGATGTCGGGACCAGAACAACTCATCATGTCATGTATCCAGAGAGTGCCGTGGACTTGGATAACAACACTCATCTTGTGCTGTTTCCATTCAAGATACAAGATCTCGAGTGGCTCATCAAGGCCTTCTCTACTGGATTTACTGGAAGGTGAGTCAGATCTTTATTAATTTACTTCTCCCCACCCCCCATTTAGCCCTAATGTGTTCAATATAAAATAAATAAATATGACATCATGTAACGTGGAAATTATATATCGCTGGTGAGGTATTGAGTAAATAATTGAGTTACAACAAACTGTTGTCTTTTAATCATTTATTAAAGAGGTGGTATTATGCTCATTTTCAGGTTCAAAATTTTATTTAGGGATTGTACCAGAACAAGTTTACATGGTTTAATTTTCAAAAAACACCATATTTTTCTCATACTGCACATTGCTGCAGCTCCTCTTTTCACCCTGTGTGTTGTACGCTCCGCTCTTGAGCTACAGAGTGATGCATCTTACTTGTACAAAATCTTTGTTGGGAGTTGCACATGCGCAGTTCCCAGGTAAGGACTACTAGCCAATCAGAAGCAGAGAAGGGCGGGTCGTAAGAAACAAGGTAGTGTGATCCAAATCAAAGCCGCTTCAGACTGCGAGCGTAACCTAGCAGATGGTGTAAGTTACTCCCAAGTCCACAACATCATTGTTCTACATCTTACAATAAACCACTACAGAAATCACCATATTTCATCTCAGTTTTACATAAAAATTGGTGACAAACAATTTGAATGTTTGCTCAGTAGGTTTCACATCAGGTGTAACATTAGCATTTTACCTGTAACTTTAACGTTTACAACAACTCCGCACTTGAACAGTCTGTGAAGTTACGTTGACGTGTTTATTTTAAATATAATTCACAACCAATAAAACATACTTACAGGTTGTGATTGTGAATTTCCAGGCCCAAACAGAGTCGGAGTTGCATCGTCTTTTAGGACTAAACGTTGAACTGTTGCAGATGTTCTGACGATCTATGCTGCCTTGCCGAAAAATGCTACCATAGCGCAAATCGATAGACTGGACTCTACTCGGCCCTGCTCCGTTTTCCATTGCAGAAAGTACCCAGAGATAGTATGTAGCTTGTTGTCATAGCGACGCCACACACAATTGCCTAAACATAATGTTCAATGCGACACACACACCAGCGATCCACACAGCTTTCTCTTTTTTAAGTTAAAACGTTTCTCATTACTCAGAATGTAAAGTCAGATAAGCGGTATGAAAACCTTCCAGCTGTGTTTTCCTCTGCCGTTGTTGCTGCAGCGGTCTGTGTGACGGCGGGAGCAGAGGGCTCTGTGAGCGGGCGGCTGGCCGGCTTCACACGCTCCTCCCGCGGGTTGGCACAGGCTTCCCCCCCACAGCCACTTGCGGAGCTCCTCAACTCCAAAAATATTCAAGCACATTTTTGTTCCGCCATCACTTCTTGTAAAACTGTCTGTAGCAGCTCTTGGCATCAATAAACCCGCGTAAAGTTCGACCGGTGCAATATATCTTCATTATTCCATCACGCACCGTGAAACTAAAACAAACAAAGCCCCAATAAATCTTACAATACACGAATCAAAGATACATCTCCCGCACTACTTGAATTAGCATTACACATGATCAAATGATTTTTTCGCAACATCAACAACAAGACTCAGACTAGCTTGGCCTGACCCCGCTAGCCGCTTGGCAAGCTTTATGCTTTATTTCATTGTGACGTCACAAGGGCCGGACTACAAACTAACTGTTTTCAGGTAGTTCAGAGCAGAGCTTTCTGTGGGGGATGGGAACTCCCTTTGGGCTGGACTTTGGGCTTTTTCACTTTGCAAACCTGTTACATGCACAAAAAAGATATATAACTCAATAAAGGAGAGGAGAAAAGCCAAAAAGCTTTTTCTCATCAGTTTAGTAGCCCTGTCACATGAATGAAATGGATAATAATGAGTTTGGTATATTTATTCCTTAGATTGAATTCAATTAGTTTTTTTTGTTATTACCTCAATATTTAACCATCACTAGCTTTGACTGTTGATTGTAATAAAAACATCCAACCATCTCCAACCACAGTCTGTGATGGAGCGTTACTGTCTGTGAGGGTGTTGATAACAATTCTATCTTTGCCTAACAACGGATTTGTTGAGACAACCTGTGTGCATTACTATACATGTTTGGGAGGAGTGGACATGTGCCATATCATTCATATCCACATGCAGTCCCAGGCCCTGCCTTAGTGAACTGGCCGGAGGAGGTTGAGGGGGGTTTGAATTAGGTATGAGTGGTCATCATCAGTTCTGGCTTCTCCTGTGGGAATCTGTTAGTGTACTTAACACTTAATCATTAAAATGTGAACATCCAGTTCAGTATAAAATAGCTAACAAAACATTAAGCAACAGGACAACAAAGCACCAGGCATCTGGTTTCACCCCAAGACGTAGTATCAGAACAGGTCTTTGTCTTTGTAATTGTCTAGGAAAGTAGGAACGCAGGTCTTGGTAGTTCCCGAGTACAGTGGACTGTGGAGAGCCTTTTCAGTCAGTGAGGCTCCGTTAGCTTAGTTTCATCAGTTTCAGGTTGCAGGCTACACAGTTTTCAATCATGGGAGAGAGATTTATCTCTTTTTATATCTTTATTAGTAATTAGGATCTACAAAATCATCATCACCTCTTTATGATTGGTTTTGGAATAGATGAAAAGGTTTGTTTGCCACATGATACTATATTTGCAATATATGCCACTCCTCTTGGGCAGTTTTAAACAGACAATGTAGAAATCACCTGCTAGGTTTAAACTAATTAACAGTTTCTCTGGCAATGTCCTAAACCATTCGTGGTCATTATTCATTACAAATGTAGGCTTGTTCAGGTTTTGTATTACTTACTAAGACATTAATATGGCATTAATTTTAGCTTCAGTGTGTTTAATTTATTTCATTTTTATTTCATCTGTGAAAGGTTGTAACTCACCCAGTGTGTGCTTTTTGCTAGATTCTGTCACTAGCTCCAGCTCAATCCTTTTATTCTCTTTTCCTTTTTTTCCCCACCTCAGTCTGTTTTGGATCCCTTCTCTGTGGAAATGTCCATTGCTGCCCACTGCACCTTCCATTTCTTTGCACCGTAATAGCTTGATATAGTTCAGCATTCTTCAGCTTCTTTTGACTGCTATTTTCTTTCTTTGTCCTCTGTCTTCATGTTGATATTCTGCTTGATCAGCATGTCTGTCTTCCATGATGTGCCATGCTGTGAAATGCTCTTTCTTATTCCAGCAGCAATTTCTGGAGTAATCCGGCTCAGAACTTTATAGGGTGTCATTGCATCTCATTTCACGCCGCTGTAGTCATAAAGTGATGATCATGTGGACTAGGAGAGTCCTACATGATTCGGTCTGTTCTTGCACGTCTTGCATGTGAACATGATTCCTTGTGCCTGGCCTGCATCTCACAGGCAGAACTACGTCCATAGTGGTATTATCTCTGTACTGTGCATTGTCCATTGTTGTACTCAGCATGCATAAAACTATTTTCCTTCTTGTATGGTTGGAGTTAAGTATATATGATGATGGTAATCAGTCTCATTTTTGGAAGTCATATTTTAGTCATGCTTGAGCTGACTGGCTCATAGCCATGGTTATCTCAGTCACTGTGGGCTATATGCCTTGACAAACTTATCCAAACTGCTCCAGCTGTGTGTGGATCTGTCAAAGGTTTCAGCCTGGCTGGTCACGTGAGCCATGGCTTCAACATTGTCAAAATGTCAATATTCCTTTTATTCCTGGCATTTCTATCTTTGGGCATCTGGAATGAGAGCCAATGTTTCCCTTTATCAGATTTTACTGGACCGTAGCACATTTCCTTCTGTGCACCAGCAGTGGGTCTTTACTCCTTGGTTTCTCATCTCTCTGAATTGCAATTTGCTACTCCTTTCCCTTTTTTTCTGAACAAGGCTGAACACTCTTTTGCATCTATCCTTTATTTTCTCTTCAAACATTTCTTTAGCTGATTCATTAGTAGGAAACCCATTTCCAACCCACTTCTCAAATTGTTGATGTCATACATTTCAAACTGGTTATATATATATATATATATATATATATATATATATATAGTAATAATAGAAGTACATGCATAAATTAAAGCTGCAAGCAGCGTTGGGCGGGCCCTCGCACTTGTAGCGTGTCCGGGTGTGAGCCGGCCGCATTGCACATTCTGGAGCTCTGCCGGTGCGGCTGTGAATTTGCTACGCGGTTGAAGGTGTCACTTCCTGTGTCCCCTATGTGGAGCCACATAGCACTTGCTGCTATGAATATAAATCAGTATTGGCATGTAGGTGTCTTCGGGGTGGGAGAATTATCAAGCACGTAAAGTTTTGTTCAGATGTGAGCATGTACACTGAAGTTAGAACAACTTCCTGTGTCATGGCAAAGAGAGAATCTTTGACGTCACGCCACGGACACGCCCATAGACGAAAACTCGCAAATAGCATAACTTTTCATCTTCAATGCCTTTAGAAGGCACAGCAGAAATTTGACGTCGGTTGGACTAAATCTCTAGGAGGAGTTCGTTAAAGTACGGAGTGTGAAAGTCATCCAAAATTTGACGTAAAATTCAAAATGGCCGACTTCCTGTTGGTTTTAGGGCATCGCTTCAAGAGGCAATTTGGTACGTCTGGACAAGATACACATACCACAGAAAATTCGTGCACGTATGTGAAACGTGCGGCGGGGGCTGCTTCGTTAAAGGTCACTTCCTGCCGTGCTCGGGCCCTAATAAACATTTGAAATATATCAGTCTGTGTGGAATGAATGTAGACATTATACAAGTTTCACTTTTTGAATGGAATTACTGAAATAAATAAACTTTTTGATGATATTCTAATTATATGACCAGCACCTGTACTACGGATCTGCTGCATGCGAAGTGAGAGAGGACAACAAACACTGCCAGCTGTGCCATTCATCAAACTTTGGCTTTAAAACTTCTTACAAGACTCAAACAAAGGCAAACGCAAAATAGGTTAGTAACCTGAGGCTAGTAAACATGTTTAGCTCAGCATTGTGTTATGAAAAGATGAATGAGCGTTTGTTTGCTTGCCAAACTAGTGGTGGGTGATTAAGTTAATCATTTAAGGCCCACTGGCTGCCATCAGTGTTAATTATTAACGGTGGCTGGGGTTGTGTTGACTTACAGTAGTTTATAAGCTGTGACAACTGTGAATAGTTCTAGAGGAGTTGTACATCAGGCTATGGTTTTACTCTGTGAGTGAAAAACAGGCTACAGGTTTAGGTTTAAGACCAGGGAATGGTTGTAACACTTTTTGCTTCAGCAACTATAACTCACTGAATTTTTTAGCTAGTGTGTTATGTAGCACTCCCTATTGTTAAAAAATGTCAAGATAAAGCCAGATTTAAAAAGAAATGGGCATTTATAGCTACCTATAAGCGCCAGCAGGTAAAATTTACCCCTAGAGAGTCTGTCATGTTTAGATAAACATTCTATGTTGCTATTGGCAACGCCTTTCCCACTACAGACATTACACTTGCTCAGCGCAGTGAGTGAAGGAGAGTGTGACGGTGGGGGCTGAGCGATTCTGGGTTGATTCTGCATCTGACTATTTTTGAGTAAAAGTGATCATTATACATTTTTCCGTTGGGTAAAAATTTACTATGAATTTGGGAATTGATAATCGTTTCTTTTGAATAAATCGCCTACTTTTATTTGGAGTTTCAAACTTTTCTAGCTATGTGTTATTCTCTGGATGCCCGATGGAGTCCGAAAAAACAAGCAGAGCAGAAGCTGTGTTTAGAATATTATCTAACCTTAAAACCTGTGAGAATGAATGGGGCTCATCCACTTTCATTGTTTAAATAGCTTGAAAAGTTATTAGAGTTCAGAAATGGAATACATAAATTAACTAAAATTAAAACTGCTTTAGTTTTGTTTTGGAATGCCCAGTATATAATTTTACTGAAAAAAAACACAAAGCAGTATCCTTTACTTAATGTTGTATTTTCAACAGGTCCCATTTGCCAGTTAATTCAAATATCAAAGCTAACAAGGATTTGGTGAGTATTATTTTGAAAGCATTCAACAACACATTGTATTGGATACAAGGCAGCAGCTCCTAAAAATAAGTGTAAAGGCTAATTCTGATTCATAACAGGTGATGGTGATCAATCCAGCTTTCATGAGGTATGTTTATGAGACGTGGCTGCAAAAGAAGGGCAGTTATCCATCCACTGGCTTTATGGCTTTGATTCTTGCCCTCCATATTTGTGACGAGGTGAGTTAATTATTATCCTTTTGAATGTCACTAGTGTTGCTGTATGAACAAGTGGATGCAAATTATGTTTTGACCTACAGTGAGGAAAATAATTATTTGAACACCCTGTTATTTTGCAAGTTCTCCCACTTAGAAATCAGGGAGGGGTCTGAAATTGTCATCGTAGAAACCACAATGTATGATTTTTTAACTATTTATTTGTATGATACAGCTGCAAATAAGTATTTCAACACCTGAGAAAATCAATGTTAATATTTCGTACAGTAGCCTTTGTTTGCAATTACAGAGGTCAAACGTTTCCTGTAGTTTTTCACCAGGTTTGCACACACTGCAGGAGGGATTTTGGCCCACTCCTCCACACAGATCTTCTCTAGATCAGTCAGGTTTCTGGGCTGTCGCTGAGAAACACAGAGTTTGAGCTCCCTCCAAAGATTCTCTATTGGGTTTAGGTCTGGAGACTGGCTAGGCCACGCCAGAACCTTGATATGCTTCTTACAGAGCCACTCCTTGGTTATCCTGGCTGTGTGCTTCGGGTCATTGTCATGTTGGAAGACCCAGCCTCGACCCATCTTCAATGCTCTAACTGAGGGAAGGAGGTTGTTCCCCAAAATCTCGCAATACATGGCCCCAGTCATCCTCTCCTTAATACAGTGCAGTCGCCCTGTCCCATGTGCAGAAAAACACCCCCAAAGCATGATGCTACCACCCCCATGCTTCACAGTAGGGATGGTGTTCTTGGGATGGTACTCATCATTCTTCTTCCTCCAAACATGGTTAGTGGAATTATGACCAAAAAGTTCTATTTTGGTCTCATCTGACCACATGACTTTCTCCCATGACTCCTCTGGATCATCCAAATGGTCATTGGCAAACTGAAGACGGGCCTGGACATGTGCTGGTTTAAGCAGGGGAACCTTCCGTGCCATGCGTGATTTCAAACCATGACGTCTTAGTGTATTACCAACAGTAACCTTGGAAACGGTGGTCCCAGCTCTTTTCAGGTCATTGACCAGCTCCTCCCGTGTAGTTCTGGGCTGATTTCTCACCTTTCTTAGGATCATTGAGACCCCACGAGGTGAGATCTTGCATGGAGCCCCAGTCCGAGGGAGATTGACAGTCATGTTTAGCTTCTTCCATTTTCTAATGATTGCTCCAACAGTGGACCTTTTTTCACCAAGCTGCTTGGCAATTTCCCCGTAGCCCTTTCCAGCTTTGTGGAGGTGTACAATTTTGTCTCTAGTGTCTTTGGACAGCTCTTTGGTCTTGGCCATGTTAGTAGTTGGATTCTTACTGATTGTATGGGGTGGACAGGTGTCTTTATGCAGCTAACGACCTCAAACAGGTGCATCTAATTTAGGATAATAAAGAGTGGGAGAACTTGCAAAATAGCAGGGTGTTCAAATACTTATTTTCCTCACTGTATAATTAAATCCTTTAATGGGTATCAGGCTGTGCCATCACAAATCGACTGAGCCCAAAGACAGGTGACATTATTCTCTAACTCAGACCTTACTTCCCTTAAACCACCATTGAATCCTACATTCACCCTAGCAAAGAGCTCTGCTGCTTAATCAGACCTGCATTGGCTAACGCAGACTCGTGGCCTGACTGGCTTGATAGACAGTTCACTTTGAATGCTGTGGCCCACTCAGTAGTCCCGCTGCCAGTACTGCTTATGTAGTGTGATTACAAAATTAACATCTTGAAAGTTGTGGCACTTGTTGCAAAGGCAGTGTTTCATTATGTACATACATTATGTAATTCTGTTAGTTAATAGATGTTTTTGTTGTTATTTTTCTTATCCAACAGGTCCATGTGTTCGGTTATGGAGCAGACAAATATGGAAACTGGAATCATTACTGGAAAAAACTCAAAGACACAAAGTTTAAAACTGGAAAACATCCTGGAAGTCATGAGTATGGAATTATCGAGGAGCTAGCTAAGCAACAAAAGATCAAGTTTTTTACAGGGTGTAGATCTTTCTCTTAGCATTTAAACTATTCATAAACTTGATAGCAAATAATTTATTAAAAAAAAAAAAAAAAAAAAAAAAAAAAAAAAATATATATATATATATATATATATATATATTAAAAAAAAAACAACTGATCAGTTAACAAGAGAAGAATGTCTTCTAAATGAAATACAAATAAATATGTGGTTGGTCCATGGCCTCCAGAACAACATACTGACAGTAAGGTTTGGTTAGGTTAGTCATAAACAAGGTGGTTATGGTCAGACCATGGCTTAAGTTAAAATGACCACTTGGTTTGGTTTAAAATCATTAACTTCTTTAAGGTTAGAGGACATTCGTCATCATAGTTACATATTTCTCGGGATCCACTCCCATTAAATTTTAAGCATCAAACCTGTTTTATACAGTCTATACGCATTTCACATTTCTTGCATTCTGGTGAATTTTTCTGGACCAGATGTCTGCCTTTTCTGCATCAGTGTATGGTGGAAACGTCAATTTATGTAAAGGGAAACAACTAGTCTATAATGGAATATACTGCAGTAAAGCTCTCAGGCATTCTGTTTTGCTTTCAATTATATATTCTCCTGTAGATCAACTTTTAGTACATATAATACCATCCCTGCTGAGTCAGCACACATACAGGTATGATTTAGTCTTCTCTTATTTTTTTCAAGGAACCACATCGCTTCACTTTGCAAGGTTGCAACATCACCTCTGCCATGTATTATGTATGCAGTGGAAAATTATATTAGACTTCACAATCAGATTTAGCAGTGAGGAAATAGGTGAGTTTAGCCAGAGACAAGACATTTAGAGGAGACATGCCACTCAATCACATTCTCAATACAACTTTACCAGTATTGGCAACTTTACCAGTAATGGTAAAGTTGGCGCTAGAAAGCCAATCGTCTGCTTTTAACAGCCAAGCGGGAAACATATTTCAGCCAATTGTGTGGTTCCACTGATGTAAGGGTCTGTTTTACTTCTACTGCATGCGTAGTAGAAGTAGAACCGGTCGGGAAAAATGCTTTTTAAACCTTATTTTGGGGTAAAGTTTTATCAGATTTAAATGCTGATTCTATTCATAGTTTTTATGTCCCAGTGACCAGTGAAAGTGTATATCTGGCTCTCTCCCCATTCATTTAGATAGGAGCCTGGTCTTGTTAGTCCGAAATAGCTGCCCAGAGGCATTGCCAAGATGGGGGCCGAGTGGCATGACTTGCCTAAAAGGACTTTGGTTTAGCCCACAATCACTAGGCTATATAATCATGCACCTTAGAGACTTTTACGTGGATTGGTGGTATTCAGAAGAAAACACCAGTGATTTAGATTTTTTGGTCCGATTTTTGTTCTTATAAATCTGATCTAGGATTTTTTTCTCGGTTTATTAACCCCCACCATGGCTCCGTATTTTTTGGCAAGGTAAAATAAAATAAATAATAAAAATAATGTGGCAATAAAGCTTATCCCTGTGTGAGTTCTTGTTCTATGTATGTATATCTATTCAACTTCCTGTTCACATGTGGTTAAAGTCTAATCTGACATGAGCACAATTTTATTTATTTTTTTACTTCAAAAGTAAAACATTGGCACTTTACATTTTATGTAATACAACTTTGTTATGAGTAGGTATGAATAATAATGTGTCTTTTGACACGCTGAAGTGCTATGTTAAGCTAACCTTGAGATTTAGCCAACATTAATACACATGTCAGTTTGGGGCAAGTCGTCACAACTTGCCTCAGTACAAATAAACACATAGAACATTGTTTAGTTACCTCTGACACCAGTATTAAATGATACCCCAGGTCAAAAAGAAGTGCTCTTAAAGGCACTACAAATATACTTGAAATTCAAATAATATGCTTATAGTACATTCATACTTAGTAAATTAAATATAAATTTTCCTGAGCTTTAACATACTTCTCAAAAGTCTTCTTTGAATAAATTGGTAATAAATATATATTTCATTAAACTTTTAATAAATATGCTTAAATAAAAGTATATATTTTTTTACAACATTTTAGTCTATTTATTAAAAATATATTTATTTAACTCTTAGTAAATACTATTTAGGTGTACTTTGTGGAAGTACATTTTTAAACAATTACACTTGTAGTGGGTTAAAAATATATTTATGCCAAATATGCTTCATTGTGTAGGCTACTGCAAAATATTGTAATTTTTTATGTAAGTGCCACATGTTTCAGCCTGATTTCCAGAAGTATGATTTTTAAAACAAATTTTTTTAACAGTCAAATGTATTTTTCTAAAGCACATTATTTGTTTGTTGTTGTTTTTTTTTCCAATTCTTTCTTTAAAATTTTCAGGTAAATAGTTAGTTGAAATCAGAGACCTCTTTCATCAGGGTAAACTGGCCAAGAAGGAAGCAGCACATGTTGTTAACTTAAAAAACAAACAATAACGTATTAAAGAATAAACACTGTTCAATGGTTCTTGAACAGTATTGGGAAATTGTATATTGCTAATGAGGGATTGAGCAGCTTTGAGCATCTGGCCCAGAGCAAAGGGATACATAATAATTTACACAGTCTAGGTTTCTATGTTTTGGGAAACAGAGATCACTAAACAATCTCACAGCTATGACCCTACATCTGTGGATAGACTAATATGAGTATAATAATAAGAAAAGGTTAAGGATAAAAAAATGATGTATATATATATACACATACATACACTGCTCAAAAAAATAAAGGGAACACTAAAATAACACATGCTACATCTGAATGAATGAAATAATCTCATTAAATACTCCTTTCTTTACATAGTTGAATGTGCTGACAACAAAATCACACACAAATTATCAATGGAAATCAAATCTATCAACCCATGGAGGTCTGGATTTGGAGTCACACTCAAAATCAAAGTGGAAAACCACACTACAGGCTGATCCAACTTTGATGTAATGTTCTTAAAACAAGTCAAAATGAGGCTCAGTAGTGTGTGTGGCCTCCACGTGTCTGTATGACCTCCCTACAATGCCTGGGCGTGCTCCTGATGAGGTGACGGATGGTCTCCTGAGGGATCTCCGCCCAGACCTGGACTAAAGCATCCTGTGGTGCAACGTGGCGTTGGTGGATGGATGCGAGACATGATGTCCCAGATGTGCTCAATTGGATTTAGGTCTGGGCAACGGGCGGGCCAGTCCATAGCATCAATGCCTTCCTCTTGCAGGAACTGCTGACACACTCCAGCCACATGAGGTCTAGCATTGTCTCTCATTAGGAGGAACCCAGGGCCAACCGCACCAGCATATGGTCCCACAAGGGGTCTGAGGATCTCATCTCGGTACCTAATGGCAGTCAGGCTACCTCTGGCGAGCACATGGAGGGCTGTGCGGCCCCCCAGAGAAATGCCACCCCACACCATTACTGACCCTCCGCCAAACCGGTCAAGCTGGAGGATGTTGCAGGCAGCAGAACGTTCTCCACGGCGTCTCCAGACTCTGTCACGTCTGTCTCATGTGCTCATTGTGAACCTGCTTTCATCTGTGAAGAGCTAGAAGACCCAGATTGGCGAATTTGCCAATCTTGGTGTTCTCTGGTAAATGCCAAACGTCCTGCACGGTGTTGGGCTGTAAGCACAACCCCCACCTGTGGATGTCGGGCCCTCATACCACCCTCATGGAGTCTGTTTCTGACCGTTTGAGCAGACACATGCACATTTGTGGCCTGCTGGAGGTCATTTTGCAGGGCTCTGGCAGTGCTCCTCCTGCTCCTCCTTGCACAAAGGCAGAGGTAGCGGTAGGTTGTTGCCCTCCTACGGCCTCCTCCACGTCTCCTGATGTACTGGTCTGTCTCCTGGTAGCGCCTCCGTGCTCTGGACACTACGCTGACAGACACAGCAAACCTTCTTGCCACAGCTTGCACTGATGTGCCATCCTGGATGAGCTGCACTACCTGAGCCACTTGTGTGGGTTGTAGACTCCACTAGAGTGAAAGCACCGCCAGCATTCAAAAGTGACCAAAACATCAGCCAGGAAGCACAGGAACTGAGAAGTGGTCTGTGGTCACCACCTGCAGAAGCACTCCTTTATTGGGGGTGTCTTGCTAATTGCCTATAATTTCCAACTGTTGTCTCTTCCATTTGTACAACAGCATGTGAAATCAGTGTTGCTTCCTAAGCGGACAGTTTGATTTCACAGGAGTGTGATTGATTAGGAGTTACATTGTGTTGTTTAAGTGTTCCCTTTGTGTGTGTGTTTTATTGTTTTTAGTAATTATTTTTAATAATGTTTATGTGTGTGTGTGTGTGTGTGTGTGTGTGTGTGTGTGTACACACACACACACACACACACACCAATTTTCCTTCTTTTAAAGAACGTGATGCTCTAGTTAATTCTACTGAAGGCTGGATGGTTAGCAACTTCTTATCAATTATTTCAGTTTTTGTTCCAATGTACCATGGTTTATTATGGTTAGTGGGCTCCACCCACAATGTCATTAGCTGCTGTGTTACCCCCAGGCAAACACTGTGCTGGTATTCAGGCACAAACCCACTGACCATCTGAAACTTTGAAAACTTCATTAAAGGTGAGGGACCTCTCTCTCCCATTACAGGCTGCTGAGGAGTTGCAGCCATTGCATGTTGAAAATGTTCTGATTCAGATCTGAGAGGAGGTTCGGGACTTACGTAATAGTATGAACTCCCACCTTTATGGTAGCAAAAGTCACAACCATATTCGCCATTAAACTGTTTTGCGTTTCGAATTTGTGGACGAGCCACAGAGTCTGAACTACAAATCAAGGCATGCACCTTGGATGAATGTTGCTGGTTCTGTGTATCTGTCCATTTTATTCCATTTTGCTCTCTTTGCTCTCTGACAGTTGCGATGACTTCGCTCACATAGCACATGTGTATGTATACTTCATGTCAGTACCTGTGATGCATTTGAGTTTGGACCTTGTTGCCGTTGAGGAACCTCTGGTGCTGGTTGGAAATCAGTAGTGTGGCCATGGTGTTCTCCACAACCAATATTTGATGTTTCTTGCATATTCTGTGGAACATATAGGAGTGGTTAATCAGTGTAAGCGCATTAAACAACTTTCATATAAAGGAATTTAGAAAAGTGTTTTTAACAGTATTAAATGACCTGTGATTGGTTTATGCCTGCTTTGCAGCAACCAGTCTCAACAGTTAAAAGTATTTTTGTAGTCTGGTGGGGCAATCCCCTTATGTAAATCATTGTTCAGTTCCATCTGCAACAGACTGTATATTAACATTGATCAATCAGATAGTGAGATGTAGCAAAACAAAAACCCCATTGCTGTCCCAAAATAGATTGTGCTCTACAATAGTAAGTCCTTGCCATGGAGATTCTGTTTTGTAGCCATTTTGTTAGACCAGTTTAAAACATAAAAATGAAAAGTCATATAGCTTGCTGCATGTACAATCAAAAGATGGTTATCATACCGTAAATTAACTGTGGTGGATTTGATCTGTTTGTGTGCTTCTGGGGCTTCATGCGAGCCTGTGGTCGGGTGAAAATGTTCTCCACAGCCGTTGTCAGGCCTCTGTTATCTGAGTAGTACACGTTTTAGTTGAGCACCAATACAAATACATTATCTTATCATTTTCTTACAATATCTTTATGAACTACTATGTTATTTTATGTGCAAAAAAGCTTGTGAAAAAAACCCATCTAACCCTTTTACAACTCTAAAACGTCATTGCTAAAAGCCAAGAATGCCAGGAAACATGACTTTTCTACTGTGACACAGCTGGTCTGATTCAAGCCATCATGCCACACACCTGAATTGTGCTTGTGGAAAATATGCAATAATGTATTTACAGTGAAACATTTGTGGTTGACTCTTGATAGTGCATCTCAGGAGGTTCACACAAGTAGGTCCCATGGGGTTGCTCTCTTCTGTTATTATTGGTCACGTCATAAACACTCTAAACAGGATAAAATGAGGTTGGTCAATAAATTCACCTTTGTATCAAACAAAAAATTAACTGGTTTAGATATGGTATTACAAACATACATTGGCAGCTATTACTGTTATGGGGTTGTGTGGTGTGGGGACAGAGAGGACCCAAATGCAATGTTCGGAGGGAAGGAGGTTTATTGAGGGAGAAAGGGGTAGAGGGACTGGAGTGGAGGAAGAGGTGGATGTCGGGGAAGCACAGGCACGGGGAACCAAGGAGACAGGGGGCCAGGGAGCCGGGGAACACTGGGGCTGAGGAAGCGAGGAGCGGTGGGAGAACAGGGAGGACACCGTGAGGGAAGTCTGAGGAGGAGAGGGCCGGTGGATGAGCCCAGCCGACTGAACGGAGGACGAGGGTGAGTGTACCTGGGAGGGAAACAGACAGAGAGACTAGGGGGTTAGGGATGACGGCGACAAGGCACAGGGAAAATGTGAAAAAACAAGAAACATGAAAGCCTGAACACGGAGATGGCACCGGGTATGGAGCAACGACGATCAAGCGAGGATGGTGTGGAGAACCGGGGTTGAAATACAGGCAGTCATGAGGTTGATTACTGGCAGGTGTGGCAGGCTGACGAGGTGGCTGATGAGATGCAGGTGCAGGTAGTTGGCTGGGCTCAGGAGCAGAGGGAGAGAGAGAGCACACAGGGGAGAAAACACAGCGAGGCAGGCAGAGAACAGAAAACCAAGGAAAAAGCAGAATAACTGATAAAAAGGAGAAAAAAAAAACAGGACACTCACCGTCAGCCGGGCTGCCACCACAACAATTACCTGCACATGGCTTTCCATTCTGTATCTTTTAGCAGGTCTTTGGCACTGAGAACTGTGTACACTGTCATTTTCATTGTTATTCAATGAATAGGGAGCTAGATGGTGGATAGAATAGATGTCAAGATGTGTTAATCATCTCCTTAAAAAGTTAAGTAAAGAACTATTGAGGATGTCAATATATGTTCAGTATTAATTGATATTTTTTTCACTACACAGTATAGGCTGCTTATTAAATTATTATTGAAATAACCTATGCAAATCGACGGTTATCAAACGGGTATCAAATGCCAATAGATTTTTGGTATACACATAAATGTGTATGTATATGTACTTGCTAGCATCAAATGCATTCAGTCTTGTTTACATATTTTATGATCAGAGAGCTCTTGATTTTAATCATTACTTCTACATTCGTTTTAGATTTTAAAGTAACCCAAATTTAGGTACTGTCATAAATACACCCTAATCCAGATTAATGCAGTCACAGTAAAGGCTACAAAACACATCCATATTCCAGTAACCATCGATACAACACAAAATAATTTAGTAGTAGTGTTCCTTTTCCGGTATTCACTTGTTCTTGTTACCTCTGAATCATTTATACACACAAATGTTTTGTAAACAGGTCGAGCTGATCTCTGAAAAGAGATTGGCAAAAACAGTCCACACCTGGTTGTATCAGACAAATATCTTGCAGTGCTTGGAGTAACATAAGCAATCAAGAAGAAATAATATAAAATATTTGTTGCAAATCCATTGATACATTCTTTAAACATTGCAGAACACATTACCTTATCGATCTCCTTTAATCGTCTAAGGCCTGTGGTTTTTGGAACCTATTTATCAGGTGCCTCAAGGTAAGATTTGTATTTCTTCGTGTCTGTCAGTGGGCATTGGTTTTTCTGAGAGAATGATATGCATTATGTAACACTGTAGCCTATGTTTAATTTATTCTGCCATTAAAATTACATCATTTAAAATAACATTATCACATCAAATTGCCAAAGCTAACGTTAAGTGCTAAATAGAACAATACTCATTCTTCATCTTGCCACATTATTCCAATCAGACACAGTGATAATAACTTCTATTTATGGAATTATATATGCAGATTAGCTGAAATAGTAACTTATTTTTAGTCAGTAGCAATGATGTGCAAACTGCAGCCCTCTACCACAAAGCAATGTTATCAAAAAGGAAAATGGTAAATTAATTAATCTTTTTTAAGCCTTTATTCCATCCTGTGCCGCTTTGAAATGATAAAATTTCCACAGTCTTACCCATTTGTTTGTAGATTTTGTCTCCTCAGCTGGCTGTCCATCTTGTCAACATCTTCCGTACAGCGAGTGTGTGCCCTCCCGCCCAGTCCATTACCGCGGTGGAGAGTTTTTATGGCGCAGTACATTCAGTTTGACCAATCAGAAACAAGGTTTTCAAATAGATGCGCCAATCACAGCACGTGAAAGTTCGCCGCATGAAAGTACAGTCAGGTCACTATCAAGTCACTGAGAGGAAAGCAAACATAATAATTGCCAGAAATCATGTCGTTTCCCAAGTTTGCTTTATATTACTTTCCCGACTCGGACTTGGCGAAGGTGGACACCACCGATATTATAAGAAAAGAGCACAGAAGACTGGAATATCAGGTCAGCTCCCGCGAACAACTTCAATGTGAAGAAGGCTACATAGAGGTGTGCCTGCCAAGTAGAAGCAGGAGAGAACAGAAGCAAACACTGCCTGCGAAAATACTCCTTCTTGGTGGTAAGTTTATTATTGTAAGTTACTAACGTTGAGCTCACACTATTTTTTCTATGTGGATAGTACTGGTGTACATTAACATTAATGTTAGCTAATGCTAGCTATATATGTAACTAGCTAACACATGGATTTTATTATGTGAATTAACTACTGATGTAACTTTGACTACCATCTGAATAGCTTTATAATCGAGAGAGTGAATTTCGTCTGCCAAAGGACTTCTTCAGTTCAGAACTGCAGCAGAACTGAAGAAGTCCTTTTGGATGAGGGACAAAACGTCTTCCAGTATCTTCAACCAAGTCCAGTTGCCCTTGATTTCAACTTTCGTTGGATACGTTATAGAAGTGATTTAAGCCTGTGCAGGTGTGTGTATGAGCACTTCATTTAGCTAGTTAGTTAGGCTGATCAGTAAGGCCTTTAATATAGTAGAGTATAAATTAAATTAATATAGCTACCTGTATGCTGAAGAATAGGTTGACATTTTTATTTTCTACATTAATAGAATACCCACATATCCATGTTTATATTGAGGAGGTTATTGGTCACAGTAATCATTATTCTTTCCCATATGGTCTGTAAAGATCATATGGGCCATCTAAAGTTGTAATTTTTGTATAAATTAATTCTAAAGTTTACCTGAAGCTAATACGAAGCATCAGCTAAGCATCTGCGTTTTGGTGATTGGAAAAGGACTGTATATAATTTAAGTGGTCATCGCTTGCTTTGCAGTCCAGACAAGATGTTCCTTTTAGTTATTTATTAAAACACAAGCTGAGTAGACTTGTATGTGTGTGCTTCTACAACACAGATAAATCAAATAATTAGTAAAATTTATATGTATTCAACAGATTAAGGCCTTACCATTATAGAATATAACTACCATACTAAATCACATTTCTGTTAGACATGACTTAACTGGTGTCATAACTGAGGCTTAATTCAAACTAGATACAAACTCACTCAACCACTAATAACAGTGGTCATATTTCAGAAATATCTAACATTAACTGGCAAATAGGTAAATGCAGCAATAAGGCATTATGGTAAATCAGCTAATCCTATACAGTATTTCTTTATTCATGGGATTGTTGCCTCTCTCAAAGATGTCTTTAACTTGCTTGTTTGTATGTATGTATGACCACTTCATATAATCCAGTAGTATCTGGTGTTTACTTTCGAATCACTGTTATAATACCCCTGTTTGTTTCTTTCTCCTACCCTGGTTGCTCTTGCTGATTCTGATGTGACAGTCCCAAAGAAAATGTATGAAAGACTCAACAAGTCACGTGTTTCTCTTTTCACCCAAGACCTGGCCACACTAATATTTGGAAAAGACACACTGGCCTGATCCACGCTCAGAGGGAAATCACAGAGCATTCAAACATCAAAGGACCAGCTGGACCCCCATAAGCTCAATGTGCTCATAGATGTGTCTGGATCCGGCACACAATCACTGTTTTTGCTCTCAGTACATGTCAAGGTAAGAAACAGGAAGCACTCAACATTTAGTATTAATTCCTCGTCAGCTGCAGCCTGTCGAAAAAAGTGGGCCAGATAATGTTTTTAACACACTAAAAATAGCTTTGTTAAATTTTAGGTCTTTGGCAGGAAAAACATTTTTAATCAGTGATTTTATAATTACTCACAATCTTAATTGTCATGTTTTTAACTGAAACTTGGTTGGACCAAGATAACAGTGCAGCTGTCCTTATCGAGTCTACCCCTCCCAACTTCAGTTTTGAGTGAAGCTAGAGTGCATAATAAAGGAGGTGGAGTTGCCATTTTGTTTAATGACTCCCTCCAATGCAAAAAGATGTCTTGTGGGAATTTTACTTCTTTTGAATATGTGGCTCTTCAGCTGAATTCCTCTTCTCGAGCTATTTTTCTAAATATCTACAGGCCCCCTAAATACTGTGCAAACTTTGGTGAACTGCTGTCTATAATCTGTATTGACTTTGACTGTGTGATTATTGTTGGTGATTTTAACATCCATGTTGTCAAGCCCCAGGAAAGAGGGACTGACTCAACGTGTGACGAGGCCCACGCACAATAAGGGGCACACTTTGGACTTGGTCATCTCCAAGGGCCTGAACATTTCCAAGGTTGTGGTGACTGACGTTGCTCTCTCTGATCATTCCTGTGTTTTCTTTGAAAGTGCTATCTGCGTGCACACAAATGTACAAACAGAGGCGATCACAAAACGGCATATCACTGAAAACACTAGTGAAAAATTTATTGAGGCTTTCTCCTCAACACCCGCCATCAATGAGTAGTATAGTAATAGTATTATTGGATCTCAGTGCTGCATTCGACACGGTCGACCACAACATATTACTAGACAGACTTGAAAAGTGGGTTGGGCTTTCTGGCACAGTACTAAAATGGTTTGAACCCTACTTAAAGGACAGGGACTACTTTGTGTCTATAGGTAATCACACATCTGAGCTGACAAAAATGACATGTGGAGTTGCCCAAGGCTCCATTCTTGGACCTCTTTTGTTTAACATTTACATGCTTCCACTGGCTCAGATTATAAAAAACAACAAAATATATTATCATAATTATGCAGATGACACATAGATTTACATAACCATTTCACCAGGGGACTATGATCCCATACAGGCGCTGAGTAACTGTATTGAGCAGGTCAATGGCTGGATGTGCCAGAATTTTCTTCAATTAAACAAGGATAAAACTGAAGTTATTGTTTTTGGAGCCAGGGAGGAAAGATTGAAAGTCAGTGCTCGACTTCAATCTGTAATGTTAAGAACCACAAATCAAGCCAGAAATCTTGGTGTAGTCATGGACTCGGACCTGAATTTGAGGAGCCACATTAAGACAATTACAAAGTCAGCCTACTATCACCTGAAGAATATATCACGGATTAAAGGACTTATGTCTCAGCAAGACCTGGAAAAGCTTATCCATGCATTTATTTTCAGTCGACTCGACTACTGTAACAGCGTCCTTACAGGGCTCCCTAAGAAATCCATCAGACAGCTGCAGCTGATTCAGAACGCTGCTGCTCGAGTCCTCACTAAGACCTAAAAAGTGGATCACATCACTCCAGCTCTGAGGTCTTTACATTGGCTTCCTGTATGTCAAAGAATTTATTTCCTGCTGTTAGTTTATAAAGCACTAAATGGTTTAGGGCCAAAATACATTTCTGATCTTCTGCTTCGTTATGAACCATCCAGACCTCTCAGGTCATCTGGGGCAGGTCTGCTTTCTGTCCCCAGAGTCAAAACTAAACAAGGAGAAGCAGCGCTCAGTTCCTATGCTCCGTATATCTGGAACAAACTCCCAGATAACTGAAGGTCTGCTGAAACTGTCAGTTCTTTTAAATTAAGACTAAAGATTTTTCTTTTTACCACTACCTTTAACTAGTAGAATGATAACTGACACTGCACTGGAACAGAGTGAAGGAAGTGGTCTTAAATCTCACGCCTGAGTGATTTGCAGGAATCTCTGTCCACCTGTAAATGCACAGGTGGGTCCAGAGTATAACTGGATCAAAGTGGCCTGTTGACAGACATGTCCTGGTTTCTCTGTAGTGTCTGAGGGTTTTTGGAGTTTCAGTGGACCCAAAGATTGCTATGGACCCGAGTACAGACTAGCAAGAGAGAGTAGATTAAGTGTACTTCTCTGTTTATTCTTGTTTCAAAATAATTGTAATAATAATTACTTGCTCAACCCCTCAGGCTGTTTTTATTTTCCATATAATTCTTTTAACCCTGATTGTACACTGCACTGTAACTTTTATTATTTTTTTAATGTGTTTTTTCAATTTCCCTATTGTGTTGCTTTTAAACTTTTATATTTCCCTGTTGCTTATGTTATATGTAAAAGCACTTTGAATTAAAGCTGCAAGCAGCGTTGGGCGGGCCCTCGCGGACTCTCATCCTACATGTACAGTTTGGTGTATGTACACTGAAGTTACAACAACTTCCTGTTTCATGGCGAATCATCGACGCTACATTGACGAAAACTCGCAAATAGCACAACTTTTCATCGTCAATGCCTTTAGAAGGCACAGCAGAAATTTGACGTCGATCCGACTAAATGCCTAGGAGGAGTTCGTTAAAGTACGGAGTGTGTAAATCATCCAAAAATGGCCGTAAAATTCAAAATGGCCGACTTCCTGTTGACTTTAGGGTATGGGTTCTTGTGGTAGATAGTTCTTGACACACAACTGAACAAATTTATTAAAAGTGTTGGGAAAGCTACATGTAAAATGTAGTAAGCTAAGCTACTTGCTACTTTACATTAAATGAAGCTTCACTACACAGATGCTACCCCCCAATGAATCATCCCCCAAAAAAAACCCAGTGAAATGTAGCAAGGAAGGCAGAGAGCCCTCACAAAGGTCAACCCCTAATGGTCACCGGGGCTGTCCTTCCACCCTATAACACAGCACTGCAAGGGAACTTTGCACACACTAAAAGAACCACTACAGAACGCACAGAAACCTGTACACTGCAAACTACTGAGCAACCATTTAAGAATGCTCCACATTTAATAAGGACCACTCCAAACCACAAGCTGGTCAGAACCACTTCTACCAATAGGGGGAGGCAGAAGGCCCCCTTTGTCACCAGCGAGGGGTTGCCTGTTGTGACAAGAGACACCTCTAACAGATGTCAATTTACTAAAACCTATTTAAGATAACTCATTAAGACTAAGACACAAAACTACTGACAAGACTACATAACATCATAAATGTGTAAGCTTAAAACTTATCTGCCCTGGGTCTGACGACAAGACCCCCCTGTGGGGAGCAGACATGAAATCTCCCATAAATCAGGAAGCGCCCACAGGGGCACTCCGTTCAGGTTCAGACCCCAGCTGCGGACTGGATTAGCATGTCGGCATGGAAGGGTGTGTGTCCTTGTGCAGCTACCGTCCATAAAGCACAGGTACAGGCACTTAATAAATCCAGATTCCTCTCTGAGTAGCATGCATTTTACACAGTAAATCACGCCCCATTAAATTAATCAGGCTTTTATCAGAGATAAGAAAAGAATGTTGCACATCTCACAACATGTATTTGGTTAAATATTATCTGAAATGCAGCCTAAACTGTCATAATTTTGACCTGATGTGTGAAATACTATATTTTTGGAGTGTGAACAACAGGTGGAGAGTAGTAGATTCTTACATACTGTACCTTTAAATATTATCAGTCAATTATCTTGGGCTCAAATTACTAAAAACAACTATTTGGCAAGGTGCCAATACGTGTAAAGGTGCCAAAACAACACAGTTTGTGAGAAATTCAAATAGAAATTGTGAGCAGCCCCAGGCTGTGCGGCCCCCCAGAGAAATGCCACCCCACACCATTACTGACCCTCCGCCAAACCGGTCAAGCTGGAGGATGTTGCAGGCAGCAGAACGTTCTCCACGGCGTCTCCAGACTCTGTCACGTCTGTCTCATGTGCTCATTGTGAACCTGCTTTCATCTGTGAAGAGCTAGAAGACCCAGATTGGCGAATTTGCCAATCTTGGTGTTCTCTGGTAAATGCCAAACGTCCTGCACGGTGTTGGGCTGTAAGCACAACCCCCACCTGTGGATGTCGGGCCCTCATACCACCCTCATGGAGTCTGTTTCTGACCGTTTGAGCAGACACATGCACATTTGTGGCCTGCTGGAGGTCATTTTGCAGGGCTCTGGCAGTGCTCCTCCTGCTCCTCCTTGCACAAAGGCAGAGGTAGCGGTAGGTTGTTGCCCTCCTACGGCCTCCTCCACGTCTCCTGATGTACTGGTCTGTCTCCTGGTAGCGCCTCCGTGCTCTGGACACTACGCTGACAGACACAGCAAACCTTCTTGCCACAGCTTGCACTGATGTGCCATCCTGGATGAGCTGCACTACCTGAGCCACTTGTGTGGGTTGTAGACTCCACTAGAGTGAAAGCACCGCCAGCATTCAAAAGTGACCAAAACATCAGCCAGGAAGCACAGGAACTGAGAAGTGGTCTGTGGTCACCACCTGCAGAAGCACTCCTTTATTGGGGGTGTCTTGCTAATTGCCTATAATTTCCAACTGTTGTCTCTTCCATTTGTACAACAGCATGTGAAATCAGTGTTGCTTCCTAAGCGGACAGTTTGATTTCACAGGAGTGTGATTGATTAGGAGTTACATTGTGTTGTTTAAGTGTTCCCTTTGTGTGTGTTTTATTGTTTTTAGTAATTATTTTTAATAATGTTTATGTGTGTGTGTGTGTGTGTGTGTGTGTGTGTGTGTGTGTGTACACACACACACACACACACCAATTTTCCTTCTTTTAAAGAACGTGATGCTCTAGTTAATTCTACTGAAGGCTGGATGGTTAGCAACTTCTTATCAATTATTTCAGTTTTTGTTCCAATGTACCATGGTTTATTATGGTTAGTGGGCTCCACCCACAATGTCATTAGCTGCTGTGTTACCCCCAGGCAAACACTGTGCTGGTATTCAGGCACAAACCCACTGACCATCTGAAACTTTGAAAGCTTCGTTAAAAGGTGAGGGACCTCTCTCTCCCATTACAGGCTGCTGAGGAGTTGCAGCCATTGCATGTTGAAAATGTTCTGATTCAGATCTGAGAGGAGGTTCGGGACTTACGTAATAGTATGAACTCCCACCTTTATGGTAGCAAAAGTCACAACCATATTCGCCATTAAACTGTTTTGCGTTTCGAATTTGTGGACGAGCCACAGAGTCTGAACTACAAATCAAGGCATGCACCTTGGATGAATGTTGCTGGTTCTGTGTATCTGTCCATTTTATTCCATTTTGCTCTCTTTGCTCTCTGACAGTTGCGATGACTTCGCTCACATAGCACATGTGTATGTATACTTCATGTCAGTACCTGTGATGCATTTGAGTTTGGACCTTGTTGCCGTTGAGGAACCTCTGGTGCTGGTTGGAAATCAGTAGTGTGGCCATGGTGTTCTCCACAACCAATATTTGATGTTTCTTGCATATTCTGTGGAACATATAGGAGTGGTTAATCAGTGTAAGCGCATTAAACAACTTTCATATAAAGGAATTTAGAAAAGTGTTTTTAACAGTATTAAATGACCTGTGATTGGTTTATGCCTGCTTTGCAGCAACCAGTCTCAACAGTTAAAAGTATTTTTGTAGTCTGGTGGGGCAATCCCCTTATGTAAATCATTGTTCAGTTCCATCTGCAACAGACTGTATATTAACATTGATCAATCAGATAGTGAGATGTAGCAAAACAAAAACCCCATTGCTGTCCCAAAATAGATTGTGCTCTACAATAGTAAGTCCTTGCCATGGAGATTCTGTTTTGTAGCCATTTTGTTAGACCAGTTTAAAACATAAAAATGAAAAGTCATATAGCTTGCTGCATGTACAATCAAAAGATGATTATCATACCGTAAATTAACTGTGGTGGATTTGATCTGTTTGTGTGCTTCTGGGGCTTCATGCGAGCCTGTGGTCGGGTGAAAATCTTCTCCACAGCCGTTGTCAGGCCTCTGTTATCTGAGTAGTACACGTTTTAGTTGAGCACCAATACAAATACATTATCTTATCATTTTCTTACAATATCTTTATGAACTACTATGTTATTTTATGTGCAAAAAAGCTTGTGAAAAAAAACCCATCTAACCCTTTTACAACTCTAAAACGTCATTGCTAAAAGCCAAGAATGCCAGGAAACATGACTTTTCTACTGTGACACAGCTGGTCTGATTCAAGCCATCATGCCACACACCTGAATTGTGCTTGTGGAAAATATGCAATAATGTATTTACAGTGAAACATTTGTGGTTGACTCTTGATAGTGCATCTCAGGAGGTTCACACAAGTAGGTCCCATGGGGTTGCTCTCTTCTGTTATTATTGGTCACGTCATAAACACTCTAAACAGGATAAAATGAGGTTGGTCAATAAATTCACCTTTGTATCAAACAAAAAATTAACTGGTTTAGATATGGTATTACAAACATACATTGGCAGCTATTACTGTTATGGGGTTGTGTGGTGTGGGGACAGAGAGGACCCAAATGCAATGTTCGGAGGGAAGGAGGTTTATTGAGGGAGAAAGGGGTAGAGGGACTGGAGTGGAGGAAGAGGTGGATGTCGGGGAAGCACAGGCACGGGGAACCAAGGAGACAGGGGGCCAGGGAGCCGGGGAACACTGGGGCTGAGGAAGCGAGGAGCGGTGGGAGAACAGGGAGGACACCGTGAGGGAAGTCTGAGGAGGAGAGGGCCAGTGGATGAGCCCAGCCGACTGAACGGAGGACGAGGGTGAGTGTACCTGGGAGGGAAACAGACAGAGAGACTAGGGGGTTAGGGATGACGGCGACAAGGCAAGGGAAAATGTGAAAAAACAAGAAACATGAAAGCCTGAACACGGAGATGGCACCGGGTATGGAGCAACGACGATCAAGCGAGGATGGTGTGGAGAACCGGGGTTGAAATACAGGCAGTCATGAGGTTGATTACTGGCAGGTGTGGCAGGCTGACGAGGTGGCTGATGAGATGCAGGTGCAGGTAGTTGGCTGGGCTCAGGAGCAGAGGGAGAGAGAGAGCACACAGGGGAGAAAACACAGCGAGGCAGGCAGAGAACAGAAAACCAAGGAAAAAGCAGAATAACTGATAAAAAGGAGAAAAAAAACAGGACACTCACCGTCAGCCGGGCTGCCACCACAACAATTACCTGCACATGGCTTTCCATTCTGTATCTTTTAGCAGGTCTTTGGCACTGAGAACTGTGTACACTGTCATTTTCATTGTTATTCAATGAATAGGGAGCTAGATGGTGGATAGAATAGATGTCAAGATGTGTTAATCATCTCCTTAAAAAGTTAAGTAAAGAACTATTGAGGATGTCAATATATGTTCAGTATTAATTGATATTTTTTTCACTACACAGTATAGGCTGCTTATTAAATTATTATTGAAATAACCTATGCAAATCGACGGTTATCAAACGGGTATCAAATGCCAATAGATTTTTGGTATACACATAAATGTGTATGTATATGTACTTGCTAGCATCAAATGCATTCAGTCTTGTTTACATATTTTATGATCAGAGAGCTCTTGATTTTAATCATTACTTCTACATTCGTTTTAGATTTTAAAGTAACCCAAATTTAGGTACTGTCATAAATACACCCTAATCCAGATTAATGCAGTCACAGTAAAGGCTACAAAACACATCCATATTCCAGTAACCATCGATACAACACAAAATAATTTAGTAGTAGTGTTCCTTTTCCGGTATTCACTTGTTCTTGTTACCTCTGAATCATTTATACACACAAATGTTTTGTAAACAGGTCGAGCTGATCTCTGAAAAGAGATTGGCAAAAACAGTCCACACCTGGTTGTATCAGACAAATATCTTGCAGTGCTTGGAGTAACATAAGCAATCAAGAAGAAATAATATAAAATATTTGTTGCAAATCCATTGATACATTCTTTAAACATTGCAGAACACATTACCTTATCGATCTCCTTTAATCGTCTAAGGCCTGTGGTTTTTGGAACCTATTTATCAGGTGCCTCAAGGTAAGATTTGTATTTCTTCGTGTCTGTCAGTGGGCATTGGTTTTTCTGAGAGAATGATATGCATTATGTAACACTGTAGCCTATGTTTAATTTATTCTGCCATTAAAATTACATCATTTAAAATAACATTATCACATCAAATTGCCAAAGCTAACGTTAAGTGCTAAATAGAACAATACTCATTCTTCATCTTGCCACATTATTCCAATCAGACACAGTGATAATAACTTCTATTTATGGAATTATATATGCAGATTAGCTGAAATAGTAACTTATTTTTAGTCAGTAGCAATGATGTGCAAACTGCAGCCCTCTACCACAAAGCAATGTTATCAAAAAGGAAAATGGTAAATTAATTAATCTTTTTTAAGCCTTTATTCCATCCTGTGCCGCTTTGAAATGATAAAATTTCCACAGTCTTACCCATTTGTTTGTAGATTTTGTCTCCTCAGCTGGCTGTCCATCTTGTCAACATCTTCCGTACAGCGAGTGTGTGCCCTCCCGCCCAGTCCATTACCGCGGTGGAGAGTTTTTATGGCGCAGTACATTCAGTTTGACCAATCAGAAACAAGGTTTTCAAATAGATGCGCCAATCACAGCACGTGAAAGTTCGCCGCATGAAAGTACAGTCAGGTCACTATCAAGTCACTGAGAGGAAAGCAAACATAATAATTGCCAGAAATCATGTCGTTTCCCAAGTTTGCTTTATATTACTTTCCCGACTCGGACTTGGCGAAGGTGGACACCACCGATATTATAAGAAAAGAGCACAGAAGACTGGAATATCAGGTCAGCTCCCGCGAACAACTTCAATGTGAAGAAGGCTACATAGAGGTGTGCCTGCCAAGTAGAAGCAGGAGAGAACAGAAGCAAACACTGCCTGCGAAAATACTCCTTCTTGGTGGTAAGTTTATTATTGTAAGTTACTAACGTTGAGCTCACACTATTTTTTCTATGTGGATAGTACTGGTGTACATTAACATTAATGTTAGCTAATGCTAGCTATATATGTAACTAGCTAACACATGGATTTTATTATGTGAATTAACTACTGATGTAACTTTGACTACCATCTGAATAGCTTTATAATCGAGAGAGTGAATTTCGTCTGCCAAAGGACTTCTTCAGTTCAGAACTGCAGCAGAACTGAAGAAGTCCTTTTGGATGAGGGACAAAACGTCTTCCAGTATCTTCAACCAAGTCCAGTTGCCCTTGATTTCAACTTTCGTTGGATACGTTATAGAAGTGATTTAAGCCTGTGCAGGTGTGTGTATGAGCACTTCATTTAGCTAGTTAGTTAGGCTGATCAGTAAGGCCTTTAATATAGTAGAGTATAAATTAAATTAATATAGCTACCTGTATGCTGAAGAATAGGTTGACATTTTTATTTTCTACATTAATAGAATACCCACATATCCATGTTTATATTGAGGAGGTTATTGGTCACAGTAATCATTATTCTTTCCCATATGGTCTGTAAAGATCATATGGGCCATCTAAAGTTGTAGTTTTTGTATAAATTAATTCTAAAGTTTACCTGAAGCTAATACGAAGCATCAGCTAAGTTGTAATTTTTGTATAAATTAATTCTAAAGTTTACCTGAAGCTAATACGAAGCATCAGCTAAGCATCTGCGTTTTGGTGATTGGAAAAGGACTGTATATAATTTAAGTGGTCATCGCTTGCTTTGCAGTCCAGACAAGATGTTCCTTTTAGTTATTTATTAAAACACAAGCTGAGTAGACTTGTATGTGTGTGCTTCTACAACACAGATAAATCAAATAATTAGTAAAATTTATATGTATTCAACAGATTAAGGCCTTACCATTATAGAATATAACTACCATACTAAATCACATTTCTGTTAGACATGACTTAACTGGTGTCATAACTGAGGCTTAATTCAAACTAGATACAAACTCACTCAACCACTAATAACAGTGGTCATATTTCAGAAATATCTAACATTAACTGGCAAATAGGTAAATGCAGCAATAAGGCATTATGGTAAATCAGCTAATCCTATACAGTATTTCTTTATTCATGGGATTGTTGCCTCTCTCAAAGATGTCTTTAACTTGCTTGTTTGTATGTATGTATGACCACTTCATATAATCCAGTAGTATCTGGTGTTTACTTTCGAATCACTGTTATAATACCCCTGTTTGTTTCTTTCTCCTACCCTGGTTGCTCTTGCTGATTCTGATGTGACAGTCCCAAAGAAAATGTATGAAAGACTCAACAAGTCACGTGTTTCTCTTTTCACCCAAGACCTGGCCACACTAATATTTGGAAAAGACACACTGGCCTGATCCACGCTCAGAGGGAAATCACAGAGCATTCAAACATCAAAGGACCAGCTGGACCCCCATAAGCTCAATGTGCTCATAGATGTGTCTGGATCCGGCACACAATCACTGTTTTTGCTCTCAGTACATGTCAAGGTAAGAAACAGGAAGCACTCAACATTTAGTATTAATTCCTCGTCAGCTGCAGCCTGTCGAAAAAAGTGGGCCAGATAATGTTTTTAACACACTAAAAATAGCTTTGTTAAATTTTAGGTCTTTGGCAGGAAAAACATTTTTAATCAGTGATTTTATAATTACTCACAATCTTAATTGTCATGTTTTTAACTGAAACTTGGTTGGACCAAGATAACAGTGCAGCTGTCCTTATCGAGTCTACCCCTCCCAACTTCAGTTTTGAGTGAAGCTAGAGTGCATAATAAAGGAGGTGGAGTTGCCATTTTGTTTAATGACTCCCTCCAATGCAAAAAGATGTCTTGTGGGAATTTTACTTCTTTTGAATATGTGGCTCTTCAGCTGAATTCCTCTTCTCGAGCTATTTTTCTAAATATCTACAGGCCCCCTAAATACTGTGCAAACTTTGGTGAACTGCTGTCTATAATCTGTATTGACTTTGACTGTGTGATTATTGTTGGTGATTTTAACATCCATGTTGTCAAGCCCCAGGAAAGAGGGACTGACTCAACGTGTGACGAGGCCCACGCACAATAAGGGGCACACTTTGGACTTGGTCATCTCCAAGGGCCTGAACATTTCCAAGGTTGTGGTGACTGACGTTGCTCTCTCTGATCATTCCTGTGTTTTCTTTGAAAGTGCTATCTGCGTGCACACAAATGTACAAACAGAGGCGATCACAAAACGGCATATCACTGAAAACACTAGTGAAAAATTTATTGAGGCTTTCTCCTCAACACCCGCCATCAATGAGTAGTATAGTAATAGTATTATTGGATCTCAGTGCTGCATTCGACACGGTCGACCACAACATATTACTAGACAGACTTGAAAAGTGGGTTGGGCTTTCTGGCACAGTACTAAAATGGTTTGAACCCTACTTAAAGGACAGGGACTACTTTGTGTCTATAGGTAATCACACATCTGAGCTGACAAAAATGACATGTGGAGTTGCCCAAGGCTCCATTCTTGGACCTCTTTTGTTTAACATTTACATGCTTCCACTGGCTCAGATTATAAAAAACAACAAAATATATTATCATAATTATGCAGATGACACATAGATTTACATAACCATTTCACCAGGGGACTATGATCCCATACAGGCGCTGAGTAACTGTATTGAGCAGGTCAATGGCTGGATGTGCCAGAATTTTCTTCAATTAAACAAGGATAAAACTGAAGTTATTGTTTTTGGAGCCAGGGAGGAAAGATTGAAAGTCAGTGCTCGACTTCAATCTGTAATGTTAAGAACCACAAATCAAGCCAGAAATCTTGGTGTAGTCATGGACTCGGACCTGAATTTGAGGAGCCACATTAAGACAATTACAAAGTCAGCCTACTATCACCTGAAGAATATATCACGGATTAAAGGACTTATGTCTCAGCAAGACCTGGAAAAGCTTATCCATGCATTTATTTTCAGTCGACTCGACTACTGTAACAGCGTCCTTACAGGGCTCCCTAAGAAATCCATCAGACAGCTGCAGCTGATTCAGAACGCTGCTGCTCGAGTCCTCACTAAGACCTAAAAAGTGGATCACATCACTCCAGCTCTGAGGTCTTTACATTGGCTTCCTGTATGTCAAAGAATTTATTTCCTGCTGTTAGTTTATAAAGCACTAAATGGTTTAGGGCCAAAATACATTTCTGATCTTCTGCTTCGTTATGAACCATCCAGACCTCTCAGGTCATCTGGGGCAGGTCTGCTTTCTGTCCCCAGAGTCAAAACTAAACAAGGAGAAGCAGCGCTCAGTTCCTATGCTCCGTATATCTGGAACAAACTCCCAGATAACTGAAGGTCTGCTGAAACTGTCAGTTCTTTTAAATTAAGACTAAAGATTTTTCTTTTTACCACTACCTTTAACTAGTAGAATGATAACTGACACTGCACTGGAACAGAGTGAAGGAAGTGGTCTTAAATCTCACGCCTGAGTGATTTGCAGGAATCTCTGTCCACCTGTAAATGCACAGGTGGGTCCAGAGTATAACTGGATCAAAGTGGCCTGTTGACAGACATGTCCTGGTTTCTCTGTAGTGTCTGAAGGTTTTTGGAGTTTCAGTGGACCCAAAGATTGCTATGGACCCGAGTACAGACTAGCAAGAGAGAGTAGATTAAGTGTACTTCTCTGTTTATTCTTGTTTCAAAATAATTGTAATAATAATTACTTGCTCAACCCCTCAGGCTGTTTTTATTTTCCATATAATTCTTTTAACCCTGATTGTACACTGCACTGTAACTTTTATTATTTTTTTAATGTGTTTTTTCAATTTCCCTATTGTGTTGCTTTTAAACTTTTATATTTCCCTGTTGCTTATGTTATATGTAAAAGCACTTTGAATTAAAGCTGCAAGCAGCGTTGGGCGGGCCCTCGCGGACTCTCATCCTACATGTACAGTTTGGTGTATGTACACTGAAGTTACAACAACTTCCTGTTTCATGGCGAATCATCGACGCTACATTGACGAAAACTCGCAAATAGCACAACTTTTCATCGTCAATGCCTTTAGAAGGCACAGCAGAAATTTGACGTCGATCCGACTAAATGCCTAGGAGGAGTTCGTTAAAGTACGGAGTGTGTAAATCATCCAAAAATGGCCGTAAAATTCAAAATGGCCGACTTCCTGTTGACTTTAGGGTATGGGTTCTTGTGGTAGATAGTTCTTGACACACAACTGAACAAATTTATTAAAAGTGTTGGGAAAGCTACATGTAAAATGTAGTAAGCTAAGCTACTTGCTACTTTACATTAAATGAAGCTTCACTACACAGATGCTACCCCCCAATGAATCATCCCCCAAAAAAAACCCAGTGAAATGTAGCAAGGAAGGCAGAGAGCCCTCACAAAGGTCAACCCCTAATGGTCACCGGGGCTGTCCTTCCACCCTATAACACAGCACTGCAAGGGAACTTTGCACACACTAAAAGAACCACTACAGAACGCACAGAAACCTGTACACTGCAAACTACTGAGCAACCATTTAAGAATGCTCCACATTTAATAAGGACCACTCCAAACCACAAGCTGGTCAGAACCACTTCTACCAATAGGGGGAGGCAGAAGGCCCCCTTTGTCACCAGCGAGGGGTTGCCTGTTGTGACAAGAGACACCTCTAACAGATGTCAATTTACTAAAACCTATTTAAGATAACTCATTAAGACTAAGACACAAAACTACTGACAAGACTACATAACATCATAAATGTGTAAGCTTAAAACTTATCTGCCCTGGGTCTGACGACAAGACCCCCCTGTGGGGAGCAGACATGAAATCTCCCATAAATCAGGAAGCGCCCACAGGGGCACTCCGTTCAGGTTCAGACCCCAGCTGCGGACTGGATTAGCATGTCGGCATGGAAGGGTGTGTGTCCTTGTGCAGCTACCGTCCATAAAGCACAGGTACAGGCACTTAATAAATCCAGATTCCTCTCTGAGTAGCATGCATTTTACACAGTAAATCACGCCCCATTAAATTAATCAGGCTTTTATCAGAGATAAGAAAAGAATGTTGCACATCTCACAACATGTATTTGGTTAAATATTATCTGAAATGCAGCCTAAACTGTCATAATTTTGACCTGATGTGTGAAATACTATATTTTTGGAGTGTGAACAACAGGTGGAGAGTAGTAGATTCTTACATACTGTACCTTTAAATATTATCAGTCAATTATCTTGGGCTCAAATTACTAAAAACAACTATTTGGCAAGGTGCCAATACGTGTAAAGGTGCCAAAACAACACAGTTTGTGAGAAATTCAAATAGAAATTGTGAGCAGCTTTGTGAGATGAGATGGTACAAAGGCAATCACAGGGCAATAATTGCCACAATTAATAATAATAATTAGCCAGGACTTCCCAGACCCATGCTGTCTAATTCCTTCATCCACAGAGAGCAAAACTGGTGAAGCAGCCTAATTTTAAAAGCAATCTCCCAGTTCCATCATAAGCCCAGGATTTTCATTAGCAACTTGTTACTGCTCAACAGCACTGCAATTACCTCTTAATTGGAACTCATTTTGCAGCACTTACTCATGGAACAACAATCAAGACTGCATGACACTGAGTTTATAGGTGAAATATTTGAATCCCAATTAGTAACTGAGCCTGAGGGAAACCAGATATGCCGTTATGGCTTTTGAACAAACGTGTCACACTTACAGGTAAAGTAGATCATTAAAAAACGTTGGAACCTCATCCTATGGCAAAGCCTTCATAAAGTGGCCTCTAAATAACAAATGGCATGTAACGAAGAAAGCAGCACCAAAATCTCTCTGTCTGTTAATTCACACCTCAAAGTTGAAACCACTTTTGATGTTTTACCATGTAATTAAGATCTGTGTTTTGCTTGTGTTAAATCTTGAGACAATAGCGATACTATCAGGAGTGGAATCCAAAACCTGCTAAGTGATTGTAAATTCCACGGTTTGTGTGCGGTGTAGGATCTTGTATACCTTCCTCTGTGTTCTTTTCCTTTTTCTAACTAATGTACATACAGACATGCTCACAAGCCCTACCAACATTCACAAATAGACACATCTGGAACCCACACCTGTCTCAGTTGGTCACACAATAACATAAACAAACTAACTAATTGAGGCAGCTGTAGACCAGCAACTCCTGTGTTCTGCATGGTAAAATTTGTCTAAAGGAGTCTGGGAGCATTGAAGAGAGGGATAATAACAGTCACAGACACCTGTCAGACAGGGCTGCATGTACACTGTTCTTTATCCACAAACCAGTGATACAAACAGAATATTCAATGTATCAAATTAAAATGATCATCCAGCTCAGTGACTGTTCTTCTGGTAAAATAATGGTATCTGGTCACAAAACAGGCAGTACAGAGAGACAGGGAGAAGGAGAGGCATGCTGAAAGCAGTGACCAGACAGGGTAACCCTGCTGTACCGGCATCTAGCTCAACCACGTGTGTCTCTCAGATGTACATACTGTACGTCTCTTGCCCTCAGGTTGATCACT